TACCGTATTGTTAGATAATTTTAAAATTAAAATAAAAAAAGCGTTTGGTAAGATTAATTCAAACAAGTGAAGAATTTCAAAACATGATTATCCAAATAAAGAGTCAAAATTTTATTTGGTTGTTGATCGTTTATAGGGACATAAAGATAATACTCTTAACCTTGGGGTATTATTGCTGCACTATTATATTTGTCATAAGATCATCATCATGATCGTCATTAATGTAAATTGAGGTCTGAAACTCTATTAAGTTGCAAACAATTTGGCTTTGGTTGCTGGTGATATGGAGCTTTGTGGGAGGCCTTTTGTATTTCATCATTGGAATACCAAGGAGTTTCTTGGCCTCCAACCTAGCATACATCAGCCTATTTATGTCTACTTAAAGCTAGATTAACAGCTCTCATGAGAGAAAAAAAATGTCTTTGAAGATGTATTAGCAAGAGGATTGCTTTCATCCCTGTCACTATTGTGACTTATAGCTCTGAAGTTAAATCTGGCTAAACAGAGGGGTAATAGAGATTTGATTTAGTCGTGGAAATGTAGTTATCCTTGAGCTACAGTATGTTGGTCAGTTACATTTCCTACATGGTTTAACATGTTTATGCTCGCCAGGCAAAGGCACAAACTAGTACAAGAAAGGGGCTCACTCATATACAAAAGAATGTTACACATTTTTAGGCTTGCTATTCTAAAATGTAATTTACAGTGGTAGTGTTCCTGAATGGAATGTTAGGCTTCGGAATCTGAAAGAGTTATATGTAAGAATTTAAAAATTGCTGATCATCCTTGAGTCACAAGGAATCAGAATTCCCGCTGTGCGAAATAGTTTTGTAGTAATCTCGCACAAGATGACGTTGTTTCATGTCATTCCCTAAAGCAACTACACAGTTGTTACCTCCTATAATTACACAGGTTTTTTTTGACTGAAGTATTTACATTGCCCTATGCTCATCCATGTAGTGGAAAATTTCCCACAAGGTTTTGAGTTTCAATTCCCTATGTAGTCAGTTTTGTTTACATGATAAACTGATGTTTTTAAAATCATTAGGGCAAAAAAAAATGTTAGTGTTGGCCACGTTTTGGGAAAATAAAAAAAATGGGTCGGTTGGTAGGAAAAATGTTAAACAATCAATATTATGCCCAAAAATAGAAAATACACAAATAATAAAACAATTTTGGATTCGCATTGCTTACCATCCAGCAAAATAGGCTTGGACCCCACTAGCCTCGCCAATTCTATTCCAGACTTATTTGCTCATAAAAAAATATTTTTGAAAAAAGAAAATAAAATGCCGACCCTTAATTATGTAAAATTTTGGTCGGTTGATCGTGCATGGCCAACATAATAATCTTTTTTTTTTTTTGCCTTGTGAAAATTCCCAAACAAGTCTTTGGAAGCCATTCTAGATGATGAGTATTATTTAATAAAGAAACTGTCAGTATATAACTCCAGTGTTTTGTTATTTTGCATCTGTTGTATTTGATGATGGAGTAAAAGTTTATGTTTATTTTGGTTCACAATTCCTTGCTTCTGACAAGATTATACTTTTTTACTTTGCTAAATAAATATTTTTATTATTTGTGGCAAAGACAAGCCAAACCAGTCACTCGTCGCAAATCGTGTTACAGAGAAAATGGCCAAAACATGCTGGAATGTCAAATTTTTAAAAATCTATTTTATTGCACTAAACTAAACTTCATATATCTATACATCATTCTATGCTGTTATTTTCCCCATTTTCAATGTTAAAACAACACTTTTTAAGGATTTAAAGATAGTTTCTGCATGAGAAATGCCTGAAATCATAAACTTTGAAGGCTGATTTCTCATATATTGTTCTTTAAACAGCTGTGTGATTAAACGCTTATAACTTCATAAGGAAATGTCCGATTTGAACGATTTTTTTACCATTTTATAGCTATTATTTTACTCTCTAACACTGTATTAATAACTTAAAATCGATTTTTGCGACGAGTGACTGGTTTGGCTTGTCTTTGCCACATTTGGAATTTTTGACTGGGCCATGGTTACACCAGGGAGGTGATCTCCCTGGTTACACACAGCAGCCACAGAGGAGTGCCAAACAACTGTAACCGATACCAACTGATACACTGTCTTTTATCCTGCCTAGCTCGTGATGTCCAATCTGGATCTTAAACTGGGATTTAAAGCAAGAGGTAGAAACAATTAATTAAATTCAATTCATTTTATTCAGTCTACTATACATAAATATAACAGAAATGTGCTTTGAAGCTAAGCGATCAAACATAAATAGTTAAAAAACGTTAAAAACAGACTGGAAACTTTAAAATGTTCCAGACTAAACAGCAAAAAGCATTAAAATTTAATAATATTCAAACATTAATAAGGGATGTTAGAACAATAAAATATACTATAAAAACAAAGACAGTAAAAAGTATTAAGATATATTATTAAAATACAATACGATAATAAAAAAATAGAGCAGAAAATGCATTAAAATAGTATAAAATTATTGCATTTATGTTAAAAAGATAAAGATTTAGATTAATTATACAATATAGCTAAGTGCTTAGCAATGGAAGAGTTTGAAAAGTTTTAGTGTTTGGAGAATTGGAAAAGAATGGTTGAATGACCCAACATAAATGGTTGGCATGGCAAGGCCCTGGGAGGGGGGGCTCACTCTTAAATATTTCTCTACAGGGAGGTGTCGCATTTACGGGGTATATTTTCAAGGACTTGGTAGCACAAGTGTGGAAAATATTGGGGGGGGGGAGAGTTACAGCATTTATGGGGTATACTTGAGAGGACTTTGTAGCACAAGTGTGGGAAATAACTGAAGTAAAATAGGTAGTCCCTGGCCTATCCTGTACCATGATTTTCAGCACAATGTTAGCGGGAATTTCAAGCTAGACTGGGTTCTAAGCTGGTAAGCCCCTTTGCTAAGCCTACCTTTGGTACAGCCACAAGATCGTAACTGGACGGAACACTTTTTGCCATCGGAACCAGTAAATATTGCGCCCTCTCTGGCACTATAATTGAGTGGCCTTTTTCCTGTTGTATTTTAGAGCACAGAGCATGACAAGTATCTTTTGCTTCATCTACTGTAAACTTATTTTTTTCACTAAATAAACAAAGGAAGTTTGAAAGGAAACTTGCAGAGTGGTAAAGTGAAACCAAAGATGAACATAAATGGACCTAACATCGCAGATTGAAATATCATGCGGTAGGAAAAGTGTGTGAGAAGGGTGGGCACAGCGTGGAAAGGTTTGGAGGTCCATGACAGCCAACATGCTCCCGAGCTGGCGATACCAGCAGAGAAAAAGACAGAGATTAATAGCAATATGATGCTTACAGTTACAATGATATATTGTTTTCTGTCTGCTATGTAATATAATGCTCTACTGTATTATATTTCAGTCATTGCATGATGAGTCAGTTCCATTAAAAATCCAATTCCTGGATGGAAACTTCAAAGTACAGAGGCCTACTGTTGTATCTTTTTGAAATTAAAAAAAAAAATTCTTTTTAAAAGTTAATGAAACCATAGTGCAGTTTTTTGATCTGTGTATTTCTAATTAATGCCTGTACTGTATCAAGCCTATATTCTTCATAGAAAAGATTTTCTTAACAATAATGGCTGAATGTAATACTGTACAATGAAAGGCAGCGGCATATCCAGTGTTTGAAATTCAAGGAGCCCAAGTGAAGGACATTTACAGACCACCTCAGTCTAACAATTTGTTGGTTGTTGCAGGCTGATACAAAACTTTATGCCTATGATACCTCCAGATGGCTGGAAATGGCATTATATCAGATTTGTCATTTCATTTGTTGTACAAGGATGTTCATCAGATTAACTGATACTTTACTTATAAATAGGATGTTTATCAATTTTGACCGTGTATGACTTTCTATATTATCAATTAACAGGATCTTTTATTATAGCATAACCCACGGTAGTATTATTGCTGCGAAGCAGCCAATTCATATTCTTGACAGCAATTTGACCTCTGAAAGGTCATTGTTTGTCAAAAAACGAGTGCCTAAGACGACTGAAAAGCGAAGGTTCCTTCTTTCGTTCTGCCGGGTAAAATCAATTACTTTAGGCGACGTTTGTAGACTAACCTACTCGTACCAACGTCCGCATGTTGCGCTAGCCTTATCCTACTCTAGGCCTAGACTAGCTAGGATGGTATAGGCCTAGCCTTGAAGGGACGAAGGTCCTAATGAAAAACAACGTCGCTCTTTGATAGCTAACATTGTCTATTTAACATCACAATAATTCATTATTAAACCTATAGTTGTTTTTTGAATTGTACTCCCCAAATCTCAGCTGATACCTCGCACAACTGGCTAACGTCTCTATCTATTGTCGTGACGTCATGGCTCGCTGGCTCATACTTGTGATATGTCTCGCACTTGTGATCAAATAAAACACTGGCTCGCACTTTGGCAACACTCTTTGGCAGTCAACTCGCCCCTAGAAAACCCGCCCTTGGAAACTTTCCCCATAAAAAATGTACACTTCCTAGACCATGCAGTCTTCAAAATAAAAATTGTAACCTTTGGTAATCAACTACATTTTCCACATACATAGAAATTTTTGATACTTTATTAAAAAAAACCTAAACCATAATTCACCACACTATAGACACTTTTTGACAAAAATGAAAAATTACGACTTTGTTACCCAATGAGAAGTGTTCTAATATAGACAATGGGTCGTGTCTCATATCATATTATTTGTTATAGTTTTATTATTCATTATTTTCACTTGACTCGCATAAATAATTTTGTTCGAAGAACATTTATATGCAGTTGTACTTCGCAGCACTTCACTTGCAATTTGCAATTTCTAGTTATACTACTGTATTACTGTTTTATACACACATTTCCATAGCCTTGAATTGTGGGTCTCTGAATTTTCAAAGCCTATTTTGTTGAAAAGATCAACAAATTTGAGCTGAGATTTACTTTAGATAGTCACCCTGAATGTTTTCTTTCTCCACTTTTAAAGGTTATGGAAGAAGAATAACCTGTAACTTGGTCAAATGACTACTCTAGCAGCAGTGGAGAGGCACTGTAGCTTCAGACATTCCACGACAGGGTGCTGAAGTGAACCAGAGCAGTGGGATGATCCTTTTCTCTTCCAAAAGATGCAGTAAGTTCTCTGAAGTTCAAAATTGCCCTATATATACACTTTCAAAGGTACTTACACATAATGATGACTACCCACATCAGAGATGCTTCCCAATGGAAGCATCTCCATTGTGTTCACTTAAGCCTGGTTTCCTGTCGACGTAAAGGTCAGAATTTCTTACGTTTCATACGTTTCTTACGATTCTTACGACTTACGCAAAGTTGAAATAATGCCGACATCAACGACGTTTGCGTTGATCATGTTGGACCGCAGATAAACAAGCAATTTTCAGCTGCTTACGAAAGTTGAACTTACGACGTTGAACTCCATCCAGAGTCCAAAACGAGCACTTGCGACTGTTACGTTGAGTTGAATTTTTCTTGCGATACGACGACATAAAAATGACGTAATTTGTAGTCACTTACGATTGGCTGCCTTTCCAACTAATCCGTCCTTGTTACCTAGAGTTTTCGCGCGAATGTAGGCCTCTACCTCTTTATATTATGAGCTGCACTGTAAATGTTAGCAAAACATCTAACATTAACTCAACATGGATTATTGTAAAGAGGTTGGGCCTACATTATTAAAATACAAAAGGCCTATTTGATGTTTGTAAAATTCATTTTGTTTCACAAAATAATAATGATGCTTCGAACATTCCCAGAACATTCGTGTTTCATACATTTTAATTCTGGGAAACTGAATTAATTGGCCACGGCCTCGAGGTGCTTGTCACCCAATCTATTTTGAGAGAAAGATTAGGACAAAAAAAAAAATCGGTACGCGGGAAAGTTGGATTGGTGGTAAACTTTAGCCCTAATTGACAAAATAGATATAAAACGGTCCTCACTCCTGCTGTATAAATGGCCCCTTGGTTTGTGATAAAATTTGTTATTTTCATTTTTACTACTCTTCTCATTGAAATTTCCAACTAATTTGTTGCAGTATTATATTATTATACGATAATTGTCATCATTATCATAATCAAACGGTGCTGCTGAGCTATGCTACAGTAATCCACTGACATGTATTTGTGTGTAACTGATACACCTTTTTTTTTATAAGAAAATATTTCATAACCCCGGGTTTTAAGAACAGTGGGACTAAAATTGCTTTAAAAATAACAACAAATTGAGGTAAAATTTCACATGCAATTATTATTATTATTATTATTATTATTATTATTATTATTTTTAATCTAGAAAAACTTTAAAAAGTGTGTACAATTATAATATAGGCATTAAACATGTTGAGCTTGAAATTGGCCGAAAAATAAGAGTACTCAGCCTCGGCAAAATTGCTCTGGTTCATATAAAAAATGTGTAGACCTATAATAAGAATAATAATAATATATGGATTTATATAGCGCAAATAAACGAGTATATACGTTTAATAAAGCATGGAATAACACTTGTTTCGTAATTATTACTTGCACAATTTAAAATATATCATTTCTCCTGATTATTCTTACACCTTTAACTATTAAAAAAAAAATCATACAACCATTGGAAATAAGAATGGTTAGCAACAGATTAAAAAAATAAGAACAAATTGAGGTAAAATTTCAAATGCGATAATTATGTTCTTTTTTTTAATCTAGAAAAAATATTTTAGTCTTATTTTTACATAGGCACAGTAGGTGTGACAATGA